AGGGGCTTTGGACTAGTTAGCTGTAACAAGGATGTGTGATGGTAACACACTGATCCCAGGTCAGGGTGCCGCTGCGTTTCCCTGTAGCCGTTACCGTACACTCGGACTGTGGTTACAGTAAAACCAGTCCAACACCAGTCAGAGTCGTCTCTCTGGAGAATCGTCCGACATAAACATCAGATGTACGTAGAACCGGTTTTGATCTTTGACCCCACGTTAAACTCAATCATTCTGCCCAGTTAGGAGGCGAGCAGCGGTCCTAACCTCGGATCAGCCACAGACTTCCTCTTTTTTTTTTTTGCATGACGGGCCAAGAAGGAGAGAGAGGGATTTAGAGTCAGGGAGAAGGGCGAGCTGTGGGGTGAATGAATAGGAACGCCGTTCTTTACGGCGTTTATGAGCACCGAGGAGGAAGCCTATCGACGGACAGCGTGTCCGACAAAAGGGCCGTGCACGCTGAGTGCGTTCGATTAAAGGTGTGCACTTGTGTCAAACCCAAGAAGGACCCCCGCTGCGCGGTGATTCAGTATTTATAGCACAGCATACACACACACACACACACACACACACACATGCATAGGTGTATGTGTGTGTGGACAGCAGCTTTGAAAACCCAGCGAGACGAGCCATTAGGGAAATTTCACACACCAACAGAGCTCCAGAGGTGCCGATAGAACACATGCACATGCACGTGCACATGCACATGCACACCAGCCTCTGACGCCTGGTTGCTGATTATAAACCCAAAGAGAGCACCATCGGGCGGTCAGACGGACCCGGAGCACAGCCACTTTATTCCCTAATGGTCTTTGGGACCATTAAAGAACACCATCAGGCCGACTGTCCACAGCAGCGTGCACGTGCAGGAGCACGACGTTTACCTGGGCTCGCCTGTATGTGTGTATAATGGCCTATGAACGTTACCACGGTAACAATGGACCGGCACACGGACCGTGGCGAGGGGAAGCAGAGTTCAGGTGATCACGTTGGGCTGTGGGGGAACGATTGCTTCATGTCTGCACAGCGGGACGTGTCCCTGTGTGTGTGTGTGTGTGTGTGTGTGTGTGTGTGTGTGTGTGTGTGTGTGTGTGTATTGATGTCTCCAGAATAAAACAGAAGGTCTGAATGTGAGAATGAAAACAGCACACAGCATGATCTACAGATATGTTGGTGTTCCTTTGGACGTCGATGTTTTAAAATCTAATCAAGTTTGAGGCGACCTGATCCAAGATGGCCGCCACAGGTCTCAGTCCAGCAGCATTTATGAAATCGTTCCACAACAGTGGATGATCTCAGAATAAAACCGCCTTCATTAAGCGATGAAGCATGAATCCAGCTGAACTGAAACGTGTAACTTTCCAACAGCAGCTGTGGTGATTTGTTCAAACTTACAGAACTTCTGCTACCTTCATGTTTCTGTTTTAATCTGAGCAAAGAAGCACCTTCAGACGATGTGTGTGTGTGTGTGTGTGTGTGTGTGTGTGTGTGTGTGTGTGTGTTGTGATCTCAGAGCTCAGGGTGGGAGTGAGGCAGCTTAACGCAATAAAGCATGTTGTATTGACATCTGTGTTGTGTCTATTGATTCCCCATTATGGAGCTAACAAACCCGCCAGGACGCTTTGTCATTCGCAATCACGTTAACACCAGGACTCACCGACAACGCTGCCCCTTTTAGGATCCCATCCACGCGCACGCGCACGCACACACACACACACACACACACACACACACACACACACACACACACACGAAAGAGCAGGTGTCCTCACGTGCACACACCTTGTCACATTCCTACACATTCATAGCAATTGTTCATGTCACCGAAACACGGCTACAACCAACGTTTCCCACGAACACACGCACACACACACACACACACACACACACACACACACACACACACACACACACACACACACACACACACACACTGGTGAGAGAGAACTCAATGCTGGATAATCAATACTGGTGGAAGGTTAAAACCACTCACACAATAAGCTACGAGCTGCTTGTGGTTTACCACACATGCTGGAAAGATCCATAACTGACCTCACCGTGCAATTATTGAATCATCTACCTGTCTGCACACACACACACACACACACACACACACACACACAGACGTGTGTGTGAAGGCGTGTGGGCTGGAGCTGCGGTTCCTTTGCTGCTTTGTTGTTTCTGCTCATTTCGTCCATACGAAGAGTTGTTGGTTTAACATCCAGCTGAATGAAACATTAACGAGTCTGAACTGCTCCTCGCCTGGTTCGTGTTTTCCACCGGTGTGAAGAAGAGTGGTCAGCTAGCAGAGCCGTGGCTGAATCAAAGGCCGACATAAACACAGCTCCTCTCAATGCAGAGTCTGACAGCTCTGAGGTTTACGTGGGCCACGGTGGCCCGGGAGGATTTTACAGCAGCGTACATTAAATAAAAAGAGCATTTAGATTTGCTTTGCTGTGCAGCAGCGTGGGCTGAGGCCGGGGCGGCTACAGGTCCCAGCAGGAGGAAGCTCTCATCAGCAGCAGGGATTATTAATGATCTGTGTTTCTGTTTGCTTCATGAGCACGGTAGTCTCCTTCATGCGCTCTCTGGAGGTCAAAGGTCAAATCTCTCACAAAAATCTTATTTTCAGTTGTTAAAATTCATTTCTGTTAATGAGAAAAATCACTGATAGATTTTTTTAAATCGTCCCTTTCAAGCTAAATAAATCCAGACTTTAATATCATCTTGTTTCTGAGGGTAAAGCATCACACATCTGGTTTATTACGCACCTCCTTTGTGTTATTTTCCCTAGAATAAAAGCATCTGGGGCTTTTCGCTGATGCAAACGCGCTGCAGCTCTACTCTGTCGCTGCAGAAAGTTTTTACATCAAATATTTTAACTACAGCAGCTTCTAGAAGACCTCGGAAACATGTTCAAATGACGTCAAACCATCCAACTCTTCACATGACACCGCTAAGCTGAAACCTCCGGAATATCAGGAATATCTGTGCAGGATCTGATGACAAATCCAGCAGGTCCGCTGTGAGCAGCAGAGCTGAGGCTGTGCTCTCAGCTCTGGAGAGTTCAGGAGTCCAAAACGCTCTAAACCCGGTTTAGATCCACAGCAGAGCTGCTGTCTGCTAGCATCAGCTGCTTGGATCCTCCTCCACCGGACCTCGCTCACCTCGTCTCCCACGTCTCACATCCCGTTGGCTCGCAGACACACCCAGATTTAAACACAAGCCTTCAGGTGCACACACACACACACACACACACACACACACACACACACACACACACACACACACACACACACCTCAGATCAGAGGACAAAGAATCACGAGTAACAGACTTAGCTAAAGTGGCTTATGAGGCCCAGCCAAACCACAAAAAGCAAATCCAATAGAAGACTCCGGCGGTCCGTGGGGAGCGAGACGCAGACAGAAGGAACCAGACGGAGCAAAGAGGCGGGAGTTTGCATTTCCGTGTCGAGCCGATACTTCACAGAAAGGAGAAAGACAACAGGGAAGAGTGGATGCGCCGTCTCCAGAGATCATGGATGAAAGGCGGAGAGGAGCAGGAATGAGCGGGGAAAGCGGGCCGAGTGTTTGCACTCCTGTACACTTTATTCCTCTCGTGTGTATCGGCTTCTCATCGCAGCCATGTGTTTAAACAGAGAAGCAACCGGAGCGGGAACTCTGACCCTTTCATTTTCTCACATGTGGAAACTCACCGGGGAGATGCGTGTGCTCACCAACATCCTCACTCCTTCATCCCACTCACGCCTTTAATCCGGCCGAGGGATCCGGAGGCTCCCTGCACCGGATCTTTATTCCAAACAGCGAATCGCTTCTGGATCGCCGCTTCCTGACCAACATTCATTCTGTTATTCACCCAATCACTCATTCACCCTCTCCACCTCTCCTTTTGCTTTCATTTCTCGGAGGCCCGGCAGTGAAACCGACCCCCACCCCACCCCACCCCCCTTTCAGCTGTCAAGAGCATCAGAAGATGCTCTCATTGAAAACCCGAGCCGCCCCCCTGACACCCACCTAAGGCCCGGCCCGGATCGGGTGGATGGAACCACCACCAGACCTGCAGCCTCGGACCTGATCCGTTCCACTAATGTTAAATAAAAATGTTAAAAGAAGATTTTCCTCTTTTAGGGAATAAAAACACCAAAGCAGCAGGAATGATATCAGTGTGACGTTGATCCTTCATGAGTGGGTTTCCAGTGATGGGGGGGGGGGGGGGGGTGTTCGGTATTGATTTAAAGTCTCTAATCAGCTGATTGACCTGATTAAACAGCAGAAACAAACCGTGTTCGTTGTTTTAGCAGCTCTTGAAGAGTTCTCGTTCTTTCCTGCGTCGCCAAACTTCCCCCTGAACTCGGCTGCGCTCCCGTTTTCCCACCAGTCAGAGATCAATACAACCTGATCGATAGATGACCATGAATATCACCCCCGAACCGGGAAGGGGGAGAGTGACGGAGAGGAGAGGAGGCGGATGGGATGGAGGACGAGACGGATGGAATTACATGAATGGAGGAGGACGTCTGGTCGGATGCAAACCCAAAATGTTCATGGATGCGTTTGAGGAATGTTGGGATCACGAGTGAGTACGGAACAGCTGATTTATGGAGATTTATCGTTTCCTGTTTGAGGAGAAAAATAAACACTTTGGAGTAAATTTCATTTTTGAATTTTAATTGACAGAAAAGCCAGAATAATAAATATTTTATAATTATTAGAAATTCTGAGATGAAAATAGAGAAAAAATAATTTAACATTATTGATAAAAACATGTTTGGCTCTTTGAAAATAACAGAATTTATTTTCATTACTTTGATGAAACTAAAACATGAAAAATATTTTGCTTTACTTTATTTATTTGAATAAATCTGCAGATTTTAGGTGAAACTGAAGAAACGTCATTGGGATGTTTTAGTAAATGAAATCTGACCCCGTGAGGTGTGGAACCGGAACCGGAACCAGAACCGGACCGGTGCAGAGCAGCTTACCGGGGCTGGACCGCGGAGCCAGCGAGGACTTGAGTCTCCAGGCGCTGAAGTCGGACGCTGTTCTCTGAAAGACGAAGGGGACGGGCAGGGGGACAAACATGGTCCTCCGTCGACCTGCTGGCCGTTGGGTTTTTATTCTAGTCTCACTTTTGTCTCCTCGTGTCCCCTGTCCCGCTCTTCTTCTCTGGCCTGCTGTGTGTCTCCCAGGATGGTGGACAGCCGCTGGGATGGGTCCAGTGATGGAAACCAGGTTAGATTTTTATTCTGGGACTTAGATTGCGCCTCCACAGACTTCCATGTCTCCTCGGAGAGATCGGCTTTTATTTCTGGTCCCTGGAGTCCCGCCGGTCTGGCTTTGGGAGAATAAAGCTATGAGAGTTGATCCCGGCAGCCGGACGGACGGATCTCCATGTGAACAGCTGGAGCTCCTCTCTGCAGCGCACACGCAATTAGACCCAGACGGCTGTGCGTAAAGACCGTAAGCTCGGTGCCCTCGGATGTTGGGTCGCTTTGGTTTGGGCACGGTTCCGACGGATTTTTGGTTCTCACAGATTTGGTGTGTAGCTGGCTGGTCTGCTGAGGGGAACGAGCACGCGGAGCGACGCGGAGATGAAACCCAAAAACATAATTTAGTAAATAAAGGAAATAATGAAGTAAGGCTACAGGCAGGCACCCCGCTGGACTCTCGCTCCTCCCTCTCCTCCTCTCGCTGATCTCCTCTCTAGCGGAGGTCACTAATTAAAGCACAATCGATAGAAAAATAAAGGAAAGAATCCATATCAATCAGCGCATCGCACTTCCGGTTTCCTCTCCAGCTGATGCGTTAGTGAGACCCAGATCCGTTCACGCGCTCGTGTCTTTGGTTCTGCTCCATCCGCCGGCGCGGGGCTCTTTCTCTCCACAAGTCCGTGCGTGTGTGTGCGTCCTGTCGGGGTGCCCCTGTCGGTCCGACGCCGCGCAGCCTGAACGCACTCTGGCACGTCGGAGCGCTCTGACCGGGAGACAGATCCCCCAGCCCCCGCTCCTGTTACCCCCTCTTCCCGCCCCCTTTCTACCCCGAGTCCCATCACACACACACACACACACACGCACACACACGCACGCACGCTTATATTTCATGTGATCCATACGAAGACACCTATGAGTCAAGGTGCTGGTCACGTGACCGATCAGAACACACTAAGCCTGTAATCCCTACAAGGCTCCGCATTGATCAGCTGATTATTTCATTATAATGAAGCCAATAATCACATGACTGCGCGGGATCGACCGGCTCCAAAGGGGGAGGAACCTTTGATGCATATTTCAGCAGGTGGGTCTCTGCCTCCCTCCTGTATGGATTCACGCGCTCCGGCCTGCAAGGTCACCCGCACATCTCAGCTAATGTATTTCATTCTACAGAGGCGGATAATCAAAGCCTGCACGCGCACGCGCGGCTGTTAAATTAGTAATTACGTTGGGCTCGGGAAGTCCACGTGCGTAAAGTGTGCGTAAAATGTCAGCTGAGTAGAATTTAAATTGCATGTTTTTCCCACTACGTGTGCACCCCCCTCCCCTCCCCTCTCCGACGCACGCGTTTACTCTCCAGATTATCACCAACATGGATTTTTTTAAATAGAAAAATCCATGCGGTAAATATCGCGGTCAATATCCGGGATCTAGGAGGGGCGCGCGCACCTCTCCATCCTCCTCCTGCTGCATACACTCCGAGGTGAGACCGAGCTGTTAATAAGTTATCGATCAATTATGGCGCCAGCTCATCGTTACAAAGGCCTCGGGCTCCGTGCCAATGCGCACGCGCGTGCGGGGAGAGGAAGGGAAGCCAAACCACCTTCACCAGGGCCTCCGGAAGTCACCCGACCACCTCCACCTCCATCACCAACCATCTTAATACTTTCATACAAAATAAAAGGAGTTATGGGTGAAACTGGAATAAGGAGCAGAAGTCCATCCAGCTCAGACTGAGAGACCATCTAAAGGCTCAGGGACCCTCTGCAGGTGTTCGGCATTAATCAGCTGATTCGCTATAATCTGTGGGGGTTTTCATCAGCTGGGCTGAAAAATCTGGATTAGCACGAGTCTGTCTCATAGATTAGTTTCACCTTTTAGGCTGGATTACTGACAGAAATGAACTTTTGCACCAGATTCTAGTTTTCCAACTTCACCCGTAAAAGTGATTCAGACACGTTAAAGTACACCAGAACCTGCTGATCTGCTGGGATTTGAACCCAAAACCATTTGTAGGGTCAGAGGTCAGACTGGCTCCTACCAAAGACCACACCAGGTGTCTCTCCTGTCAGCTAAAAAAAGGAAAACAAGGATTTAATTCTCACAGGACCACCAGAACTGCTGCTGGAAACCCTTTTCTCGTCGGGAGAGTCTGGATTTCTGCTGCATCCTAACCCATCTTCTAATGCTACTTCCAGCAGGATCATGCACCATGTCACAAAACTCAGAGAAACTGGTTTCTAGAACATGACCGTGAGTTCACTGGACTCCAATGACCTCCAGAGTCACCAGATCTCAGTCCAGAACCTCTGGGATGTGGTAGGAGCTTCTCATCATGGATGGACCAGAAGCTCTGATGAATACTGACATGAAGACTTAGGGTGGTTCTGATGGGAAAAAGGAGGTCTGAGGCTCTGGCTCATCTCCAGGAGGAGGTATAGAAGTTCTGCTCCTCCTAACGCTGCTGTGAGCTCCACCATCACCACCCCCATGTTTCTGTTACAAGCTGCAGCTTTTAATGCATCTATGCATAAACACACGCCGCTAAGTGGGCCCCTCACACCACAAACGGAAAAATCCTCGTTTGAGAGATGAGTCCGTTTGCCCAACGAGACACACGAGGAGCAAAAAGAAAGGGAGCAGCAAGAGCAGGAGGAGGAGGAGGAGGGGGAGGCCGGATAAAGAAATGACTGGTTGTCTCTCCAGAGCCCCCCTCCTCCAGAAGAGGGCGAGCACACTGGAGCCCCGATACAAACTCCTTCCAGACAAAAGCAATTATTTCTTGTAGAATTCGGAGTGTTTTGTGCGTCCATCACGAGGAGGAGAGGAATACGGCGCACGGCGGCCTCATCATTAAACCTGTTCCTTTCCCTTCTGCTGTGCCCGTCGCTTTACTCTGACATCAGGAGAGTTTGGGTCACAGCAGATCCCAATCCACCAGTACCACCCTGATCCTGACCCACCAGCATCACCCTGACCCACCACCCTGAGCCACCAGTACCACCTTGACCCACCAGTACCACCTTGACCCACCAGCACAACACAAATAGAGACAGCAGCTTCTAACCAACTCAAACCGTTTTGATTAAAGTAAAACGGTACAAACAGGAAATGAATATGACCATTAAGGTAAAAAAAATGTCGTCTTCGTCTTCCTCCGCTTATCCGGGTCCGGGTCGCGGGGGCAGCATCCCAACTAGGGAGCTCCAGACCGTCCTCTCCCCGGCCACCTCCACCAGCTCCTCCGGCAGGACTCCGAGGCGTTCCCGGACCAGAATGGAGATGTAACCTCTCCAACGTGTCCTGGGTCGACCCGGGGGCCTCCTGCCGGCAGGACATGCCCGAAACACCTCCCCAGGGAGGCGTCCAGGAGGCATCCTGACCAGATGCCCAAACCACTTCAACTGGTTTCTTTCGATCCGGAGGAGCAGCGGTTCTACTCCGAGTCCCTCCCGAATGTCCGAGCTCCTCACCCTATCTCTAAGGCTGAGCCCGGCCACCCTACGGAGGAAACTCATTTCGGCCGCTTGTATCCGCGATCTCGTTCTTTCGGTCATTACCCAAAGCTCATGACCATAGGTGAGGATTGGGACGTAGATCGACCGGTAAATCGAGAGCCTGGCTTTCTGGCTCAGCTCCCTCTTCCCCACGACAGATCGGCTCAGCGTCCGCATCACTGCAGACGCCGAACCAATCCGCCTGTCGATCTCCCGATCCCTCCTACCCTCACTCGTGAACAAGACCCCGAGATACTTAAACTCCTCCACTTGAGGTAGGACCTCTCCCCCGACCCGGAGGTGGCAAACCACCCTTTTCCGGTCGAGAACCATGGTCTCAGATTTGGAGGTGCTGATCCTCATCTCAGCCGCTTCACACTCGGCCGCAAACCTACCCAGCAAGAGCTGAAGGTCAGAGCTGGATGAAGCTAGGAGGACCACATCATCCGCAAAAAGCAGAGACGAGATTCTCCTACCACCAAACTCGACACACTCCACACCACGGCTGCGTCTAGAAATTCTGTCCATAAAAGTGATGAACAGAACCGGTGACAAAGGGCAGCCCTGGCAGAGTCCAACCCTCACCGGGAACAGGTCCGACTTACTGCCGGCTATGCGGACCAAACTCACGCTCCTCTGGTAAAGGGACTGAATGGCCCTTAACAGAAAGCCACCCACCCCATACTCCTGGAGCGTCCCCCACAGGGTGCCCCTGGGGACACGGTCATAAGCCTTCTCCAAATCCACAAAGCACATGTGGATTGGTTGGGCAAACTCCCATGCCCCCTCCATCACCCTTGCAAGGGTATAGAGCTGGTCCACAGTTCCACGGCCAGGACGAAAACCACATTGCTCCTCCCCAATCTGAGATTCAACTATCGATCGGACCCTCCTCTCCAGTACCTTGGAGTAGACCTTTCCAGGGAGGCTGAGGAGTGCGATGCCCCTATAGTTGGAACTAGGGCTGCTCAATTAATCAAATTTTGATCACGATTACGATCTGAGTTTTGAACGATTATAAAAAACAAAACAAGCCGATTATTTGCTCCTCCCGCTTGCGCTGCCCTGAGTTGCAAATGAAGCGCTCCTCCCACAGTGTTGCCAACTTAGTGACTTTGACGCCATTTCTAGAAGCTTTTCAGTCCCCCTTCTTGACTTTTTAACTTAAAAACACCTAGCAAACACCTCAGAAACACCTCTGGTAACCCTTAGCTACTTTCTGGATAACTGTCATCGACGTTTCCTGCAGGTTAGCTAAACACTCCGCCTGCGCTCCGGACCGTTCTTCAGGACATTAGGAAAGGGAATGATGTAGTGATGTGTCTGTCAGTCGCTAAAGAAACAGCTCTCGGAGCCGGCTCCCTGTTGGATTAACCAGAGTGAGTGACAGACACCGCACCTGCGAGCTCCTGAGCCGCTAAAAACGGCTAAATGTGGGCATGCTAAACACACGTACAGCTTGCCCCAATTGCTGAGACCGGGTTGGGGGGTGGGGGGGTGCAGCTGTGGTTGGGACAATTATTACATTAACTGATGGATTTGTAAATAAATAGTTTATAAATAAGGTAAAAATAACTTCCTCACGCTGATAAATAATAACTAATCTCTCTGAGGACACGGTGCTAGTGCACTCTCCAACAGCACCTTGACAGGACTCAATAAATGTTATGCAACATTTTGTGAACATCAATTTATTTGCATTTATTTGTTATAAATGCCACTGTATAATTCTTGCTGTCAGAATTTGCAAGATGTTGGTGTTTGGGTCTGTACTGTTAGACTTACATGAGTTAAACCAAGGTCTATAGCCCTTGGGTCATAGACTATGAGCTATAAGTATACTGGTCTGTTTATACTGGGAATCAGGAGTTATTTTAGTGATCATCTTGTTTCTTATTTTTGTCCTGATTGTGCCCTGAGCAATTTTATGACTGAATAAAAACAAATAAAATCAACAAAAATTGAAAAATCGTCCTAAATAATCGTGATCTCAATTTCAGTCACCATAATCGTGATTATTATTTTTGCCATAATCGAGCAGCCCTAGTTGGAACACACCCTCAGGTCACCCTTCTTAAAGATGGGGACCACCACCCCGGTCTGCCACTCCACAGGAACTGCTCCCGATGACCACGCAATGTTGCAGAGACGTGTCAACCATGACAGCCCTACAACATCCATAGCCTTGAGATACCCAGGACGAACCTCATCCACCCCCGGGGCTCCGCCGCTGTGTAGTTGTTTGACTACCTCAGCAACTTCTGCCCCCGAGATTGGACAGT